CACCACGTCCCCCAATTTGTACTGGGGCCACGGACCCGCATTCCCATTTCGGGCCTCGTAGCTCCGGACCTGTCGGCCCTGGGCTAGTTCGGTCATTTTCTGCCGCTTTCGGGCTAAGCCTGGGCAGCGACCGCTCCATTAACTCTAGGTGTCGTTTGGCCTTGTCCCGAGTCGTAGCTCTGGTGGGCCGTCGGTTCAATGTAGACTCATCCGGGAGGCTTGGTATCGAAACGCAAGCGACACTATTGGTCCTTAATTGGAAGAGGCTCAGCCCCATCGATTCGTGGGGCGTCCCGCGATGGACTGCCAGGATGTGATCGACTATATCGGGCCAGAGTCTCGGATCCCGTGCCGCGATGTTTCGTCGCAACGCTGTCTTTATCACCCGGTTAGCGTTTTCGACCAGCCCATTGGATTGTGACATGTGGGGTGCAGTGTTCCGTATGGCGACGCCATGTAGGACCAGATTCCTTAACACTTCTCCCCTGAATTCAGCCCTGTTGTCGGTCAGGATTTCTTCCGTATCCTGATGCATCCCGAGGAAACGGTTGACATATCGTGTGATTTCCGTGGCTTGCCGCGTGCGACAAGGATACACTTCGATCCATTTCGAGAAATAGTCGACAAATACCAATAGGACTGAACATTCGCAACTATTAGGGCCAGGGGGCACCACTATATCGGTAGTGTCCATGCTTACTCTCTGAAATGGTCGTTCAACAACCGTGGGCACTATCGACCTTGGCGGCTGAATCGGCGCTTTATCAGCGGCGCAGACTTGACAGGTGGCGACGATGTACTTCACTTTGTCGCGGATATTGGACCAGTACCACTCATTTTTGTCGATAGCGGACTCCGTGATTCGTACCGCAAAATGAGCCGCAGTTTCCTCGTGGGCTGTCTTAACCGAATCATACCGCATGAACGGATGCGGCACCACCATCCAAATCCCACTGCCGTCCGTTTTCCGTTTTTCTAATCTACCCTCTATCCATCGATAATCCCGAGCCCTTTCGTTGGCCCTCCTCCGATCTTCCTTGGTGAAATCCTGGAGGGGGTTACCTACTAGGGTGGCAATTAAGACAATATCCGTCCATACTTCGGCCCTTCTAAACTTTCGGGTCTTTTCCAATCCTTCTGACGTGGCATCYAAAAAGCGRGCCYCGGTCGGAATTTTGTCGGTCCRGCACAAGGGGCACAACCATGGTTTACTATCGTTCCTGTATTGGATGCACGAGCCATGGGCCCGTGCAACACACTGTCGGCAATCTATCCAATCCGCATATCTCACCCCGTTAGGACGCATGGAGATCAAATAGATGTAGGAGATGGCTTCGCAAAAATAACAAAATTTGTCAGGCAAGAAGAGGAGAGACGAGGAGGAAGGGGGAGAAAGAGGGGTAGTGGGGTTACCTCCATCACGCATCGCCACCGTTTTGCTTCTTGCCACGTGGGAGAACTGCCACTTGTCCGTACTTCGGCTCGTTAGTCAAGTCCGGCTCTTTCCACGGTGTAATTTCCTCGCCCTTTTGTACCTTGGCAGGTCGATGCAGACGTGTCAGCCCGTCCGCGTTGCCGTGTCGCTCTGTCTTTCGATGGACGATATCGAAGTCGTATTCTTGTAGTCGCACCGCCCAACGGCCAATCATGCCCGTGTAGTTGGTGAGTTTCTTCAGCGCCAGCAGAGGCTCGTGATCCGTTACGAGGTGAAACTTCTGTCCGTAGAGATACGGATGGAAGTGTTGGATTCCCCAAACTACCGTATAACACTCACCCTGAGGTGTGGAGTCGTTTCTTCGTTCGTCCGGTACAGTTCGTGACGCATACTCGATGACGTGTTCGCGACCATCGTTCCCCTTCTGCGCTAGAATAGCGGAAATCGCTTCCGGTTGCCAGTCCGTGATAAGAATGAACTGCTTCGAGGGGTCCGGTGGAATCAAAATAGGGGTCGTTGCTAGAGCGTCCTTGAGGGTTGCAAAGGCCTGCTGGCACTCCGCGTCCCAGCTGAGAGGTTGGTCCTTCCATAGCAGATTCGTTAGTGGTCGTGCAATCGCGGCAAAGCCCTTGATGAAGCGTCGGTAGTACGATGCCAGTCCCAAGAAGGCTCGAACCTGCGTCAGTGACGTAGGAACCGCAGCTTCTTTCACCGCCGCAACTTTTCTCGAATCTGGCCGCAATCCTCCACGTGTCACGACATAGCCCAAGAACAAAATTTCTGAGAGGAAAAATTCGCTCTTCTCAAGCGCAATCTTGAACCTAGCGTCTCTCAATGCACCCAATGTCCATTCAATGTGCTGCGCGTGCCCGTGATAGGTTTCCGAATAGACCAGGATGTCGTCCATGTACAGGATTACGCAGAAGTTAATCATTCCTTGCGTCAACCGTGTCTTGCTGACGAAGTTCTGGAACGTCATGTTCATCGCTCGCTGAAACGTGGCAGGCGCATTGCAAATCCCCATCGGACACCGAACTCACTGCCACGTGCCCTCAAACAACACAAAGGCCATTTTCGGCCGATCTTCTTCCCTTACCAGATCATGATGGAAGCCATGCCGAATATCAAACTTGCTGAAATAATTAGCGCATCCAATCGCATCCAACAGATCATCAATCCGGGGGAGGGGATACACATCTTTAATCGTGATTTCATTCAGCTTGCGATAATCAATGCGAATATGAATCGCTCCGTTCTTCTTCCGTACTAACACTACGGGAAAATACCAAGGTCCAGTAGCGGGTTCAATCCAACCGCTGGCTTCGAACTCCCGAATTCGTTTGAGAATCTTTTTGTGTTCAATCAAGGAATAGCGATAAGGTTTGCAATGAATCGGGGAGTGATTTCCTGTCTGAATTTCGTGTTGGATTACTAACGACAACTCAATGTCAGTGTCTGACACACTAATCGCTCCTTGATATTCCGTTAGAATATCCGCAATTACCCGGTGGATTTCATCCGGCACATATTGTGAAACGTGCAGTTCAAAAAGTTGGTCCCAGATCCGAACGTCAATCTGTTTCGTGTTCGCCTGTTTTGTCAAGTCGGGTGGAGGCGCCGAGATGAATGAATGATCCGATCGCCAGGAGAACACCATGGCCATCATCTGAGCATCTTCTTCTCGGATTGCCACGTGTCCTTCCGGGGTAATCCCGTCACAAACATCCTGCCATGGCACTTCCTTAGTTGCGATCTTTATCCCCAGTTCGTCTGTTTCCGCTGCAAAACGCCCAGGGGGTTCCAGAGAGTTTGCTTTCGTCCCCAAGCGTAACAATCTCACTTCTTTAGCAGAGGTTAGTAAGGACTTGGGTAGATCCGTAATGTCACAGTAATGCTTCTTGTCGTTGTACCGGGCGAGGAGAGGGGTGATTCCTTCGTACAGAGTTTGAGGGGGTTCCAAAGAATCGACCATCCTCGAAATCTGCACGAGGGGCTCACCCAAGATCATCGCCTAGGTCCTTTGAATTTTTCGGCTGGTTAGTTGCATCGTTCTCGCTATCGTTTTGGGTGGCGGGTAACAAACACGTTGTCGTGCCAATTTCAAGATCTCCGGATCATCCTCGTCACTGCTTTCCGCATCATTTGTTGATGACTCTCCTTCTGCGGATTTCTCCCAGGAGATCATGCGGAGAGTCCCTGCCATCATCGGCGAAACCCGCGGAACCACGTTAATAGTAGTGCGAAGGGTCAATCGCATGGGCACATCGTAGGGTTTTCCTCCTGTATTTCGGAGGACGATCGACCGTCGTTCGAAGTCCAGGTTTGCTCGTAACGCCACAAAAGCAGGAAGTCCGAAGAGAGCGTCGTACGTATTGACATCTAGTACTACGACATCCCCAAGCGCATGCACTTTACCCAATCGGAAAGCGACATTGGTCATTCTTCCCACGGTTTTAATTCTTTCTTCGTCAGCCGAAACGAGCTGATCTTTCTCAGAAAGCGTGATCAGGTCGTTTTTCCTACCTTCCCTTTCGACCACTCTTAGTGAGATACCCAACACAGCCGCTCCCGAATCTATAATAGCATTGTAAGGAATTCCCCAAAATTTTATATCGCACTCGGAGGATTTCCACGGAATTAGTTTAATCCGTTGGAAATTATAATCTTTCTGGATTAAACCTACCCGTATCGGATCCGAAGTACTTGCGGGGTTTTCTTCGGGTGCGGGGCTTTTGGCCTTCGCGTTCGGGGCTCGGGCAAGGGCGAATCGCTTTCGGTTCGCTTTGAAATGCTGTAACATTCGCTCGTTGGCTTGCTCGAAGATCGAGAGCAGGTGACCAATCGAAAGGGGAATCCGATGGTCCAAAGCTCAGATGATGTTTAATACATCGATCGCCCCTGTGACGAAGGTGGGTCCTCCCGACTCCATTTCTCCTAGGGACGGTCGCCACTCCGCCACCTCTTTTGGTTCTGGCGCTGGTCTGATTGTTCAGATCATTCCAAGCGCAGGATATCCCAGCGACACATACTGATCTAGCAGGATCAGTTCGGCGGCCTCTTCCATGGTGGTCAGGGCACTTCCCCCACCTTCTACTTCTTCCATCAGGGCTCCGACTCGTCCAGGTCCGTAGGCGATGGGAGCCGCAGCCATAGGTGCGGCCCCAATTCGCTGTTGCGGGGGTCGGTGGGGGCAATCATGGGCTAGATGGCCTGGCTGACGACAGGCGTAACAGACATTCAGATTATTTGCGACTCCTCCGAGCGCAGGGGCCGGGGCTAATCCTTGCTGCATCGGAGGGGTACGTACCGCAATGGGTCGCATATTCCTCATCATGGCTTCCAGCCGAGCATTGTGCTCTCGCTGCTCCTAGGTGACAGGTCCTGATACAAATCCCATGTTTTCAAATTTGTTCTGCAAGGCGGCCAGCTCTGCTCTCGCTCGTGCGAGCTCGGTCGAATCTCCGTCTCTAGGGTAGTCTTCTCCTTCCAAGAAGTTCGCCGCAAACTTCCGTTCCATTTCTTCCGCAGCAGCCATAATTTGTTGTAGCGTATGAGTGATGGGGAAAAATTGCTTTCACAACTTTGCCCTTATCGTTCGACTGCGGAGTCCGTCAATGAACAGATCTCTCCCGACTTGCTCACTTCGCTCAGTTTTTACGAACATTCTATAGAACCGATTTCGATATTCCGCAACGGATTCGAGCGGTTTTTGCACTCGGTCCTTGATCATGTACAGCGCTTGCTCAGGGTGGACATAATCAAATCAGTTCATAAAATCTCGTTCGAAGGTCGGGAGATCCACCCACACATAGGTACTATACCAGTGATGAGTGTCTCCTCCCATTCGAGCCGGAATGTTGATCTGTGCTTCGTGATCGTCGTACAGTTGTGCTCTAAGCGTGGCCAGCCATGCTCCTGCGAGATGGTGCGCTGGATCAAACAGATAGAGATCTGGTGGCGACATGGGAGCTCGTGCACGTGGGGCGGGTTGATTAGGTGGATTAGCATTTTGTTGCGGAACCGGATTCTGCACATTGGCAGCCATATTGGCTGCTCGTCGGTTAGCCGATCTGCTTCTGCAGATGATAGGGTCGCGTCTATGCGCGTTCCGGGGGCGAGGTCGCCCACGGTTAGCCAGGTCGCCTAATTAACTTGCTATCAATCCTAAGACCCTAGCCACGTGTCGGGCTTCGATACCAACCTCACGTCCGTCGTGACTTCCTGATCGGAGTGGAGTGTGGGCCTGGAAGTGCGAAAAGGGGTGTGCTAAGGATTTTTGGGGGAAGTGGGGGAGTCTTAAGGGTATGAATGCAAGTAGGCGAACGAGGGGTGCACGCGCAAGGGTCTCACATTCCGAAGGGGCCGGGACACTGTGGGCGACGGGTTACGGGAAAATTCCTCCGTGGTGGAGATGGTCCCGAAAAGTTAGGCCGTCGGGGCCGCCACGTGGCGCAGGCCGCCACGTACCTGGGTTGGGGCTTCGGAATTCCGGAGTTCTCTGTGCGTCACTACGTCGGCAGTTCACGCAAAACGTATTGGGCCAATAGGGGGCTATGGCCGGCCACGGAACGACACTGAGTTGATGATACGAGAGAAGGAGGCGGAAAGGAGGGAAACTGGTGGTGATCGCAACGAATCCCGGGTGGGTGAAATATTAGGTGTGGTCGGGAGAAGGGAAATCGGAGCACCGAGGGTCGCTAGAGGTGGCACAGTGGAATTCCCGCGGACATTGCCGATTCTCCGCGTGACAGGGGTATCGTGTCCTTATGAGCTCGTTTATTATAGGGGTGAAATAGTCCGGGTCATAGGATGAGTCTGAGCCCCAAGATCACGTCATGGTATTATCGTCGATGGGATAGCGCGGGTCGGGATATCGTCACCGCGCACGAGCACGTGTAGGGTAGGCAGACTCAGTGGTGCCTCAGCGTGCTCGTACGGGATGATGGTTTCGCCGCGAATCCTTTTTGGGTGAGCGAATCGATGCACGGGAATGCATGTAAGGGCGCGACTCGGATCACGTTTACACGTGTTCGCGCAGCGTTCGCGGGACCAGACTTCGGATCGTCGATTATGCAAGATGCAATCATATCGCAACCCCCATCGCGGGATAAGCAAAAACGAGAACAAAATCACTATCGGGGCCAGATTCTTATCCCATCTACAGCGACATCAGGTGCAGGCAAAGATTCGACACAGACATAATGCAAGGACAGGGATTCTTAGCAAAAAGATAGACAAGCATTCATAACATCCATACATCCATACATTCGACAATCATACACCTAATGCAAGCAGGACGGACATCGCAAGGACAAGTGTGAGAAAAAACCCAAGCCCAGATTTCAGAAAGCCGCAACGAAAATAAGAACAGGCAAACCGCCCGGAGCCGTAATCAAAATGTATGTACACAGATGAAGAATACAGTTACAATGGCGCCCGCCTAAAATTACAGTTACACACACGATTAAGGGCGCCTACTAATCAGAGTACCGTTGCGGCCGCATGAAGAAGCGCGTAGACAAAAGGCGCCGCACGACAGGAAAAATCCTAATTACTAAATTCCTAAATTCCTATCTAATGCGAAAAAGCAAAAAGAAGCACGAATTCCAGAAGGAAAGTCCAAAATTCTGAGAGTCATTGGGGGCTCGACAAAATTCGAAAAAAGATTCAAAAAGGAAATTAAAAAAAAAAACAAAGCAATTTCCTGCGCGATGTCCGCGCCCAAAAGATCGAAATCGAACCGAAAGAAACGACGTCAACCTTTATTAATCACGCGCGTGATGGCGCGCCAGACATTTATCCGACCAATCACTCCACCGGCCGTCCCAAGACACACTCGACCCCGTGCTTGGCCATTCAAAAAAGAAACGACGAAAAAGAACGAAAAAGCGAGGAGACTGATGCAATTCTCCACCGATCCCGATCTCCCGTAATTGGCCCAATCTTCCCAGCTTAGGACCCCTCATTGCAACCGCGCAAAAAATCGCGCGTTACAGAAAGTGGTTCGTCACATGGCTCCGCCATACCGGCTACTAGGCGCGGCGCGGCGCTATGCTCTCCTCAACGCGTCCCATGGAGCACCGACGAGCACTTTCCCGAAAACGCCGACGGCCCCATGCTAGCGCAGCGCAAACTTCCGCATCCGGAATAGAGCTAAGGTAGCGCACGGGAGCATTACCGGACCGTCTTCAGTCCCCTCCTGGTCCTGATCCAAGACCCAGCAGACGGTCAGGTCAATGCTTTCTGAAAGAAAGAAAAAAGAAAAAAAGACTCAGGTGTATAAGTGCAACCCTACCGTTTTCCCCCGAACACAACGCACCCACATTTTGACTGTATCGGGCTGGAAACATATCCTGTATACGTTCATTTTCAGGGTGCTTTAGGGCACGGGAGCATTACTGGACCGTCTTCAGTCCCCTCCTGGGTTCAGGTCCGACAAGCAGCGTTGAGATTCCTCAACGCCTGAATCTGGACGCGTTGGTGGAGATGTGCGGTTGAGAAAACTCAACGCGATTTCTGCGCATATCCACAGACACGTCCAGATTCAGGCGTTGAGGATGAACGCAAGTATCGCGGCGCGGGTTATTCTCCATGGGTAATCCATGAGTCGGAGTTCCCGTCCGAACAGGTCAATCACGGGCGGTAGATCCGCCATCTCGTATGTGTTAGCTACCATTCGATGAAAAGTTTCGATAATCGTCAAGGTCTTGGTTCTCTCATAACCCGCACTCCTGAAGTGACGCAACGTCATGAGAGAGAGAGAGAGAGAGAGAGAGAGAGAGAGAAAGAGGTTAAATGGCAAAATTGAAATATGGGTCACATTGCGGCCGCAATCTATTTCGCAGTTGGAATAATTTTTTAAAATTTATGTAGCGTTTGTCTTGGAAAGATCACAACAAAATTTACGAGTACTCCAATTTTCCGGTTTTTTCACGCATTCTTCTGAGCACGAAAACTCACTGAATTTGGAGTACTTTTTAGTTGGCCCACGCATGGCTGAGTGGCAAAAATGGAAAATGTGTTGAATCGGCGCAACAATTATTTCGCAGTCTAAATGATTTTTTGTAAATGTTCTATTATTATTTCTGGAAAGAACACGACCTCATCTATGGATTCTCAAAATTTCAGATTTTTGTGCAAGTTCGTCTGAGCACAGAAAATCGCCGAAGTTGCCTCTTGCAAAACGTCTGTTTCGTTGTGCCTGACCTCCCTGTTTTGAGAAGACGGGGCTCAACGCCTGGGCCTGAGGGCCCTTTTGCAGATCACAT